ATAAACAAGTAATTAATTGGCTGTTTAAAGGCAAATTGGATGGTTCAACCCACCCAATTGGACTCCCGGAGGGTATTAGGGACCATTGTAAAAATTTCGGCAATTTTTATTTCCGTTCGAAAAAAGGTCAATAAATTCAAAAATTGAAAGCTAATATCTACGTTTTTTGAGAAATTTTGGAGGTTAAGGGTCTCGGTGTCGAAAAGGCTTCAGATTTAAGGGGATACATCTCGGGGTCATATAATGTCGTTTGAAACCATATATGATCATTATATGTTGTCATAAATGTTCGTGGTAGGCTTGAATTAAAGAAATCGGTGCAAATTGTAAATCGATAAATTGGTCGTTTAAAGGAAAATTGGATGGTTCCACTCACCCAATTGAACTCCCAGGGGGTATTAGGGACTGCGGTAAGCATTTTGGCAATTTTTTATCGGGGCGAAAAAATGTCAAAAATCCAAATTGGAAGGTTTAATATCCACACTTTTTGAGAAACTTTGGAGGTTTTAGGGGCCGGTGTCGAAAAGTCTTGAAATTCTAGGGGATATTTCTCGAGGTCATATAATTCTGTTTGGAACCGTATATATATGATCATTATTTGTTGTCATAAATGTTCGTGGTAAGCTTGAGTTAATGAAATCACTGCAAGTTGTAAACCGGTAAATTGGTCGTTTAAAGACAAATTGGATGATTCCAACCACCCAATTGGACTCCCGGAAGATAATAAAGACCGTGGTAATAATTTTGGCAATTTTTATTTTTGTGCAAAAAAAAGTCAATAAATTCCAAAATTGAAATCCACACTTTTTAAGAAATTTGCGATGTTTGGAGTCCCAATGTCGAAAAGTTTTGAGATTTTAGGGGATACACCTCGTGGTCATATAATGCAGTTTGGAATCATAAATGATCATTATATGTTGTCATAAATGTTCGTGGTAGGCTTGAGTTAATTAAATCGGTGCAAGTTGTAAACCGGTAAATTGGTCGTTTAAAGGCAAATTGGATGGTTTCGCCCACTCAATTGGACTTCCGGAGGGTATTGTGATCATGGTAAACATTTCAGAAATTTTTATTTCCGGGCGAAAAAGTCAAAAAATTCCAAAATTGAAGGCTAATATCCACGCTTTTTGAGAAATTTTGGAGGTTTCGGGGCCCAGTGTCGAAAAAGGTTGAAATTTTAGGGATACATCTCAGGGTCATATAATGCCGTTTGGAGCCATATATGATCATTATATTTTGTCATAAACGTTCGTCGTAGGCTTGAATTAATGAAAACGATGCAAGTTGTAAATCTGTAAATTGGCCGTTTAAAGGCAAATTGGATGGTTCCATCCACCCAATTGAACTCTATGAGGGTAATATAGACCATTTTAAACATTTCTGCAATTTTAATTTTCGGGCGAAAAAAGGTCCAAAAATTCCAAAATTGAAGGCTAATGTCCACACTTTTTGAGAAATTTTGGAGGTTTCGGGACCCGGTGTCGAAAAGTCTTGAAATTCTAAAGGATACATCTCTGGGTCATATAATGCCGTTTGGAACCATATATGATCATTATTTGTTGTCATAAATGTTCGTGGTAGGCTTGACTTCATGAAATCGGTACAAGTTGTAAACCTGTAAATTGGTAGTTTAAAGGCAAATTGGATGGTTCCACCCACCCAATTGGACTCCCAGAGGGTATTAGGGACCATGGTAAATATTTTGGCAATTTTTATTTCCTAGCAAAAAAAGTCAAAAAATTCCAAAATTGAAGGCGAATATCAATGCTTTTTGAGAAATTTTGGAGGTTTCAAGGCCCAGTGTCGAAAAGTCTTGAAATTCTAGGTGATATATCTCTGGGTCATATAGTGCCATTTGGAATTATATATGATCATTATTTGTTGTCATAAATGTTCGTGGTCGACTTGAATTAATGAAATCGGTGTAATTTCTAAACCGATAAATAGGTCGTTTAAAGGCAAATTGGATGGTTACATCCACCCAATTGGACTCTCGAAGGGTATTAGGGAACATGTTAAAAATTTTGGTAATTTTAATTTCCGGGCGAAAAAAGTACAAAAATTTCCAAAATTGAAAGGCTAATGTCCTCACTTTTTGAGAAATTTTTGAGGATTCAGTCGAAAAGTCTTGAAATTCTAGGGGATATATATCTGGTTCATATAATGCCATTTGGAACCATATATGATCATTATTTGTTTTCATAAATGTTCGTGTAGGCTTGAGTTAATGAAACGGTACAAGTTGTAAACGTGTAAATTGGTTGTTTAAAGCCAATTTGGATGGTTCCACCCACCCAATTGGGCTCCCGGAGGGTATTTGGGACCATGGTAAGCATTTCGACAAGTTTTATTTCCAGACAAAAAAAGTCAAAAAATTCCAAAATTGAAGGCTTAATATCCACGCTTTTTGAGAAATTTTGGAGGTTTCGGGGCCCGGTATCGAAAAAGGTTGAAATTTTAGGGATACATCTCAGGGTCATATAATGCCGTTTGGAGCCATATATGATCATTATATGTTGTCATAAACGTTCGTCGTAGGCTTGACCTAATGAAAACGGTGCAAGTTGTAAATCTATAAATTGGTCGTTTAAAGGAAAATTGGATGGTTCCAGCCACTCAATTGGACTCCCGGAGGGTATTAGGGGTCATGGTAAACATTTTGGCAATTTTTATTCTCGGTTGAAAAAAAGTCAAAAAATTAAAATTCCAAAATCGAAGGCTAATATCCACGCTTTTTGGGAAATTTTGGAGGTTTCGGGTAGAGCTGCCAATTTGGGTAAACGGGGCGGGTTTGGGTCGATAAGAGTGTGTCGGGTCAACTTGGATCGGTTCAATTCGGATAATTTCATAACCTATGTGGGTCGGGTTTGGGTTGGGTTATGCTTGAGTCGGGTCAAGTCAGGTCATATTTATTATCGGGTTTAGGTCAAGTTTAGGTTGGGTTAATAACAGGTCAGGTTTTATTCGAGTTTTCACGGTTTAAAACAGGTTAGGGTAATTCTCGGGTTTAAGTCGGATTCGGTTCTAGTCAATAATTTTTGGGTTAGAATCAGGATAGGAAATTTTTCGGGTTTGAGTCGGGTTTGGTTCAAGTCAATAATTTGCGGGTTATTATTAGGTCGGGTCATTTTCAAGTCGGGTAATTCTCGGCTTCAAGTCGGGTTCGGTTCTAGTCAATAATTTGTGGGTTATAATCAGGTTGGGTCATTTCCAAGTCGGGTCATTCTCGGATTCAAGTCGAGTTATGTTCAAGTCAATAATTTGCAGGTTACAATCAGGTCGGGTCATTTCCAAGTCAGGTCATATTCGAGTTCAACTAACTATAAATAGATAGATAATTATCATTTTTATCAAGCTAATTATTTCCTTTGATTATAATATATATATGGCAATATACTACCACTTTGTTTCTATAGTAGTCATCTTTAATTGGACTCCCAGAAGATATTAGGGACCATGGTAAACATTTCGGCAATTTTTATATCCACGCTTTTTGGGAAATTTCGAATGTTTCAGGGCCCGGTATCGAAAAATTTTGAGACTTTAGGGGATACCTATCAGGATCATATAATGCTGTTTGGAACCATATATGATAATTATATGCTGTCATAAATGTTCGTGGTAGGCTTGAGTTAATGAAATCGATGCAAGTTGTAAACCGGTAAATTGGTAGTTTAAAGGCAAAGTGGATGGTTCCACCCAGCCAATTTGACTCCCAGAGGGTATTAGGGACCATGGTAAACATTTCGGTAATTTTTATTCCCGGGTGAAAATAAGTCGAAAAATTCCAAAATTGAAGCCTAATATCCACGCTTTTTGAGAAATTTTGGAGGTTTCGGATAAAGCTGTCATTTCGGTTAAATAGGTCGAATTTGGGTCGATAAGAGTGGGTCGGGTCAACTCTGGTCGGTTCAATTCAGATTAATTCCATAACCTATGCGGGTCGGGTTTGGGTTAGGTCATTCTTGAGTCGGGTCACGTCGGGTCATACTTATTATCGGGTTTAGGTCGGGTTACATTCGGGTCGGGTGAACTATTGGTCAGGTTTAATTCGGGTTTTCACAGGTTAAAACAGGTTTGGGTAATTCTCGAGTTCGGTTCGAGATCGGTTCTAGTCAATAATTTGAGGGTTAGAATCTGGACGGGTCATTTTCGGGTTTGAGTCGGGTTAGGTTCAAGTCAATAATTTGCGGGTTATAATTAGGTCGGGTCATTTTCAACTTGGGTCTTTCCCAGCTTCAAGTCGGGTTCGGTTCTAGTCAATAATTTGCGGGTTATAATCGTGTTGGGTCATTTCCAAGTCAGGTCATTCTCGGATTCAAGTCGGGTTATGTTCAAGTCAATAATTTGCAGGTTACAATCAGGTCTGGTCATTTCCAAGTTAGGTCATATTTGGGTTCAACTAACTATAAATAGATAATTATCATTTTTATCAAGCTAATTATTTCCTTTGACTATAATATATATGACAATAATAGGGAACTACCATTGTCAATTTTCAGGCAACGAGATACGTAGTAGCAAAATGTAAAGAATTACAGTAATTAAATGACATTTTGGTATGAACTAGACATGTATATAGAAATTAAGCAACCTAATTATGAAACAATAACCACAGGTTGTTTATGTAATCGATTAAGCAACCGAAAGTATTTAAGAGATGAAGTCAATGTAGAAGTGGTTTGGAGAATTACATTAGGGGAAGAGTAAAGAACCAATTATTGAAACATAAATTTATTAAGAAGAGGATATTTTTGTCTTTTTAAATTTACATATTTTTAATTTTTTCGGTATTTAGGTTATTTTGTACTGCATTTAATATTTGTGTAAATTAATATTGATTGAGAAAATTCTATTAAAACTCCACATGTTAATTTAGATGTTTCTATTGTAGTCATCCTTAGAACCACTTGATGACTACCTCAATATTTCATTTTTATTGGCTGATTTTTTATTTTTTTTGTTTGTCAAACTTTTTAAAAATGATTTTTTTTTCTTTTTAATGTTTTTGTAATTAGAAATTATTTATGATAAATTTTTTAAGTAAATTGAAAATTCTGATGAGAATGATATATATCCTATCCTCGAGCATATGATATCATAGAACGATCCTCCACATTCTGCCGTCAAAAAGTAAAAAAAAAATCCGCTGTTTGGTTCTCCTCTAACCCTAGTAGCCATTCATGGAGGTAGAGGCAAACATTAGACCATTAAATGAAGGCTCCACTTCATTCTTCAAGACGGTATTCAACGGCCTCAATGTTATCATAGGTAAATTTTACTCGTCATTATACACTCGAATGTATCTTGTACACCTCACTTGAAATTTCAATAAATTTTACTCATGCGTATAATAGACACGCTAAAAAGTGTTACAAAACTCACATTAGTCATAGAACAATTATCTTTTGTTTTAATCATTTTTTTTTTTCTTGAATTAGGAATTGGTGTATTATCAATGCCGTATGCCCTAGCATCAGGAGGATGGTTAAGCTTAATCTTGCTTTTCGGCATCTCCGGCGCAGCGTGCTACGCCGGCCTATTAACAAAACGATGTATGGACGCGAATCCTAGGATCAAAACATACGCCGAAATCGGAGAATTTGCGTTTGGAAAAATAGGCAAAAGAGTGTTATCAATAATACTATACATTGATCTTTATTTAGCATTAACAGGTTACTTAATTGTAGAAGGTGATAATTTACATGATTTATTCCCTAAAGTCAAGACTAATTTTCATGGGATTAATATTGGTGGAAAACAAAGTTTTATTATGATTATTGCCGTTGCATTTTTACCAACAGTTTGGTTAGAAGATCTAAGTGTTCTTGCGTACGTTTCGGCCACGGGTGTAATTTCGGGTTTTGTAATTCTTGCATCTGTTTTATGGGTTGGTTTATTTGATGGTGTTGGATTTCATAGTAGAGGTGAATTAATCAATTGGAAAGGGATTCCTACAGCTATGAGTTTGTACATGTTTTCTTATAGCGCGAACCCTGTTTTTCCTACCTTATACGCTTCCATCAAGAAGAAACGTCATTTCTCCAAGGTACTTTTTTTATTTAGGTTGTGTTTTATTTATCTGAACTTATTAAAACTTATTTTTATTGCATATTAATCGATTTGTGTGTGTATGTGTATAAGGTCTTACTCATTGGATTTTTCGGTGCAACCATATGCTATGCTACAATGGCTATACTTGGTTATATGATGTTTGGTTCAGCATTACAATCTCAAATAACATTAAACCTTCCAACGCAGAAGCTAAGCTCAAAAATCGCGTTGTATACAACATGGATAAGTCCATTATCGAGGTATGCATTGATGATGGAGCCTGTTGCAGCTACTACTGAGAGTTGGTTTCCAAAACATCAGAAGAAAAAGGGGTTCAAAATTGTACTAAGAACTATCTTGGTTGTTTCACAAGCGATCATAGCGATGTCAATTCCATTTTTCGGAAGTCTCATGTCTCTAGTTGGAGCCTTAATAGGTGCGACAGCTTCGATCACAATTCCATGTTTATGCTACCTTAAGATTTCGAGTAAAAATCTGAGGAGATCGAATGAGCGGGTGGTCATCATGTTGCTTGCAGTTCTAAGTATAGTAATTGTTGTAGTTGGTACTTATACATCCATGAAAAATATTATCAAGGAGATCATGGTTAGACAGCATTAGGTTATTTAGTTTTAATGTTTTATCATGAACACTTCAGATTGTAAAAGTATACATTTTAAGTTATTATATCTATCTTGTATTAAACAGATAGGTCGACGTCTTCATTTTTTAGGGCACGACTTTACCTGCATGGTTACTAATCAAGCAAACGTTGCTGAGTACTCAGGAACATAAGAGCAATGTCACAAAATAGTAACGAACTAGGATAAGATTTGAGCTAATCGTCGTTTTAGTACATTTATAAGAACTATGAACAGAAGAGGATCTCCAAGAAGCCCCAAAATGAGATCTTCAACTGAAGAAGGTAGCAAAATACTAAAATCAGTTCAAATCTACACGGTTGGGCATCAAAAGACAAAAAAACTAAAACTGTACACAGCTGTGGCAAGTCGATCCTCAGTAACTCATTATCTCTTGTAGCGAAACCTAACCTTCAGCAAATATTGCATCTTAACCTGTAAACAGTCAAAATGCATAAATCAGTATCTCATTAGCACAATGTCAGTTTGCTGAAGGTTACAACACCCGAGGTAGAGGTCAGATGATTATTGTGATATTAGCCCAACAAGATAATAATCGAGTCAGTCAATCATATTAAATTAAGCAGCAAACACCCCAACATTCATGTGCATATTCCAACTAGAAAACATCATATTTATCATGTGCCTAAGCTTATATTAGCATGGTCCACAGCTAATTGACAGTCTGACTTTAAAGTCAATTAGAAAACAAAACATATACTATTTTGCATGAATTCATCTTAAGAAGTTGTTTGACAGATATATTTAATCCTTTCGATAACACCCCCCCCCCCCCAAAAAAAAAAAAACAAGGGACAAAATTTCGCATCATGTAAACTATCGATGGTCATATACTGTTCATTCAACCAAAAAGGTCCTGCTCTTAAAAAAAAAAAGAGATGTTAAGAGAAGATAAGCATAAAGGTGTAGGGCATAGAGCAGTTAATCATAGTGCATCAAAATCATTTTTTCAAATCGATCTGATACGGACAGTACTGCTAAGGTGGAGCATAAAGAAGCTGAATATTAGAAAATGCAATAGAAACAAAGAGTTCTGATGATATCTTTTCAAAAGCAAACAAATTATTTGAAACTTGGTATGGTGGTATTCCTTGGAGCTATTTAAAATAAGAAGAAAAAAGGGACTTACTTGAGCAGCGTCATAAACAATATACTCATTGTACATCAGGTCAGATGTTTTATCTTTAGAATCCACTGGTTTCCCACAAGGCACAACTACCTCATCCCGCCATTTTGCAAATCCAGCCTCATCAGGCACTTTCTTACCAAGTCCTTTGGTAGAGTGCTTCCCTCTTGGAGGTTTGTCCATGTACTTTAATACATAACAATGAAATTAGGAAAAAGCTCGACCATGAAGGGTCATACATATACAGAAATTAGAAAAGCTTCAAGAGAAGAAACAGATGAAATTATGACAACATTATCAAGGAATGTCTGTAAATCATTTTGAAACATAAACCCATCTCTTTAGGATTTGCAAGAGTACATAAACATAGCTTCATAACATCATGTCTACCAAATTTTTTTGTACACTTCTTTTGTTCCATACAGGGGAAAGATACATACCCCGATACCCTTATTACTCAAGATGCAATAAAAATAACTTTAAATAGTCTCACCTGGGCTTTTTTGAGTTCATGAACCTTCCCAAGAGCTACTTCACTCAATAGCATCAAGCCCACTGGATTTTTCTTGTCAGTGAAGCAATACTGTGCACTCTTGCTGACAAGGTCAGCAAAGTAAACCCCTTTGCCAAACTGCAAGATAAATTAATTTGAACTCAGTCAGGGAAATATAGCTGGGGAATTCTAGCTAAACTTGCTCATCAATCTGCAATAAGTTTGCATGAGATGACATGGAATGAATAAGTGGCAGGACTAACCATGTAACCAGTAGCTGGAGCCTCAGGAGGAGCAATTCTGAGTCCTTGGCTAAGGATCCCAACAAAATTTGTCAATCGGGAACCTGAGAATATTTATGCATCACAACATAGATTAGCCCCCACATAAAGCATATTACCAACGCTTTAGCATGAAACTAAGTACAGGAAATCATATTACCATGCCAAAGGAGCATTCTGTTGCCAAGCTTCTCACGCTTAGGTGCAAACTTATCAAGCTCTCCTTCCCTCTCAAGTGAGAAAACTTCTTCGAGTTCAAGGCTCCATTCCTAATGTATTCCGGAAAATATAAATAACTATATAAAAGTTGGTTTGAAATTCTTGAAGAGCAATATAAACATTGACCCACCGTATGTGTAGGGGCATGAGTAGTGAGAAGATACTTCTCAATTAATTGATAATCTTCACTATCATGTGACAAGGGTACCATATCACACTGAAGCTTCTTATACTTGGTGTCAAGAGGTTCATCACTGTCTGCATCAAAGCCCACCAATCTGGAGGCTATTTCAATGTCCTGAAGTGCTTCTAGCATTTTGACCTAGCATGGAGATTGAGGAAGATTTTTTTTTATCAAACAAAAAAAGCAAAAGAAGACAATTACACGTACCAAACAAATAGTGTATCAGCTTAGTTTCTCTACCAAAACTAAATTTAGCAACAAAGAAATTTATAGACTTGGGGCCCTTAATTTTTCAACAACAGAGGGCTGTTAGGCTTCGCAGATATATGCCTGGATAACAGAAAAAAAAAATCTCTTCCCTGCACTTAAGTATGTTGATATTGTTGAACAATTTATCTCACAACAAAACCCTAATACAAACACTCCAACAAATAGACAGATCCACAATGAGAGAGGGGAAAAAAAGCATTAGAGTGTGGCATACCTTTGACTTGAAATCATCTTCATCTCTAATTACATGAGGATGAATAGAAGGAATCATAGTGAAAAAGCGATTACTGGCATCAACAATCAAGCTCTCTTTAACAGAAGGTTGAAGACCCGTGTTTTCCAACAAATTTTGTATCTGTGTCAAGGCCTCAAAACCTGACAGATCAAAGATGATAATAGTCACGGACAAAAGAACCTTATCTTGATCAAAGTTGACAAAAAACTATACAGTAGTGCCAATGCAATAACACCTTGTTGGATATTGCTCTTGCTCAGTTTTCCAAGCGGCATCTCAGACAGGTTGATCTCAAACTCCAACATAGCAGCTCTACAAAATACATATGAACTTAAGTAAATCCTTAAGGGAGGAAAAGAAACAGAACACAACTATTTAGGATCACAATTCAACCTATAAGTTTCCACATTAAAAAGCATCTTAATCAACTCTTTTAATGCAGGGGCTAGTTTGCTGTTACTATCATCCAGATTCTTCTTTGGAGCCTGCTTATTGACCCCATAATCCTGAGACATGACAAGAAAAAAAAACACTATAACAGCCGGCAACACACTATGGATATAAGAAGATAATAGAGATAGAGCAGAGTAATAGTACAATATCTAATGGAAAAAATCGTCCAGGATGCTTCCGGAAGTTCTTTTTATGCACCCAAGCTTCCCAAGGATTCCCAGTTTTCTCCAGAAATAGCCGTTTGAATTCTTCAATTGCATCTGATTTCGAAATTTCCTCAATTTTGCTACTTCCAATTTTCTCATTTCCAACTCGACCCCACTTCCGAAATACATGGCACTCTTGACCTTTATCATCTTGTATAATTTGAAGAATATAATAACTTTTTCAGAGCACAAACAAACACCAAAAAAAAAAGGTTAGATTAGCTGCAGCATATGAAGAAAAACTTTGGTTAAAAGGCAAAGCAATGCTGAAATCAATATCAAAGATTAAGATTACAAGACATAATGTTAAATCCAATAAGTCATATTTGATCATCAACATTGAGGTCAACAACTCAACATGTAAAGACTAAAGAGCATTAGAGCACTAGGAAAAATAAATAATAAGCACAGTCAACTGCGTAGTGTGATAACAGAAATAGCTAGTAACAACTGCAAAGTGTGTCAACTGTTTAGCAAAAGCATGAAGACAAAGGAAACTCCCGAAGTGGGGATTCTTCTGAAGGCAATAGTACTCTGCCTAGATATAAGAAAATTCATATTTTACCAACCTGTTAATTCCGGATGACAGGTCAGACAGGCTTAGAGTAGTGTTATAGATGCTGGGACCTTCCTCCAAGATGTGACCAGAATCTTGCAGACCAGAAGCTTCATGAACAGCACTTCGCCCTTTAACTTTGACAGTAACCATGCTAGAAGACTCTCCAGTGGCTTCCATTTTGTACAGATTAAATGGAAGCTTCTTCTGCTTTTGGATGCAGTTAACCAGATACTCTTCTCTAACAATTGGGATTTTCATCCTCCTGCCAATACATTATCCAACAGTGACGCAATTAATCAAGATATGCAATTAGCAAAAAGGAGTGGCAATCTGTAACTGTTCTGCGTACCTTGCTTTCTTCAGCTCGGCATGTTGATCACTAAGCCCGCCACCCACAACCAAACAATTTGTATCTGCGATATAAACAGTAAGTGCCCCAAAACTTTCTGCAGGACTAAGAATAATTAAAATTTTATCAACTAAAACATCCAATCAGATAAAAATGGTGCAAAACCTTTCTTGATTTTGGCATGGACCTGGCCTCCAGCCCCTTCGATTTTGCTTCTAAAATCTTCCTGTATCACATTGTCAGCCATTCAGTGTGGACAAAATCAAGAACATGAATCACAGTAGCAAGCTAAAACATGGGTGTGTAAAAAATAAAAAAACACTCCCAATCCGTAAATTATAAATGGGAGGAGAATATACCACAGTTTCTTTAGGTAATCCAGCAATAGCAACTCTAAGATCCTCCAACTTTTCATCTTTAAAAGACTTGAGTTGTCCATTAGCACTATGATTTCCATCAGACGTGTTGGAAGCTGAAGGCGGTAGTATCCTAACAGGTTTAGCTGCCTTTTGTAACTTAAACCACTGTTCAAAGTAGATTAAAAAATTGTTAAAATCTCATAAAGTCATAATTGATCATGGACCAAACTTTGAACAACATACCTTAAGAAGATATTGATTATCTGTCTCTTCTGGTAATTTCCACTTCCCTTTGATTCTTTCAGGTTGATTAGTAGAGTAGGAACATTTGCTCCACTCTGAGATAAAGCCGTGGCACTTATACATGCCTCCAGAAAAGGAAAGATGACCAGAACACATAGGACATCTTTCGAGCGCTCCAAACATCATGCCATCAGCACTAAATGAAAATTAGGGACAAAAAAAAAAAAAAAAACACGCGTTTAAAACTCGTGCAACACACACACACACACACACATACTTACTACTATCCACATTTTATTTTTATTTACAACACCAGATGTAACATTTAATACACAGCAACCAATATGAAGTTTATTATTATTATTGAATTCCAATAAGTTACGGTCACATTTCCTAAACATTACTCTAAAATGACTATGAAAAAAAAAAAAAAAAACTGTACAGCTGTGCCTCGCCACATCACCAACAATTACCCACTCAGCTAGCAAGGCATGTCTAAGATCTTTTTAAAAAGTACATGCATTTTATTCAAAAACTTTGCCTCAAGAACTACTAATCATGCATTTGAGAACTAAATCAAAACAGATAATAATCTTATCAACTACCACAGGTTTAAAAAGGAACTTACCAACGGTCCCTCAAGTCAAGCTCTGAGCCCGATGTACTTTGTTCATTGGCTTGAAGCATCTGTCGCAACTCCACAGTTGAAACATGTTTCTTCAAATCATCTTTCAGATCCCATAACGCTCTGGTCTGAACCTCCAATCTACTTTCCAAAGCAGCATCCCCACTGTCCAAAGCTTTAGTTAGAGAGCCACACTGACGGATCATCATATCAGCATCAGTTTTCACAATTTTGGCATCCTGATCACTGCCACCAGCATTTTTCCGCTTAGCCCCATCTCTGGTTTTTGAATCTTTTAAAAACTTCTCACTACTTCCTAGACCTACAGGCAATAATCACAAGAAAAGACAAGATTTAACAGCAGTGGCACACTATCAATATAGTACACGGAAAACAAAAAAAGAAACGAAATATAGAATAACTGAATAATGAAGAACTAGTACCACTCTCTGCAGAAGGAGCTTTTCCCTTAGCAGCAACTTGGACTGAAGCTTGATCACTCGATGAAAGGCTTTGCCATCCAGATAATTTGTCAGGAAAGGTGGAAGGATATGACTCCAGGAAACAAGTGGCATGATACCATGACAAACCTCTAGAAGCTTGGCCATCAATCTTGGCAGATATTCGAACCTGCTTGAATGTTAGAAAATACTGAGGAAAATCATTTCACAATCAAAACTAATCCCTTCTACTAACCAATTTGAAAAATATTATCATAATATCATTAGTATCACTAACTCAAATATAAGTTGTTTCTACTTTCCAACATGTATATGCATAATTCAATCTATTTTGAGATGTTTAAAAGAGCTCAATTATATTTGTTAAAGACTTAAGTTGATCCCAAAACAAGTCAGGATTCACTCTCAAGTAATGCACAAGCATCTCATCAACAATCCTATTAAGGTTTGCATGCATACATACACTGGATGTGCGTACTTATTTTTTGTATATACATGTATATAAGGCCACTGTCTATGATGAGAAGTTCAAAATTAAATGGAAGCAAGAAAAAATCGACCCTTCCACAACGATAGATAAAGAGCACAAGAATCTTTTAAAAGTTAGACCAGCTAGTTCTGGAATGTAATACTCGCCTGTCCTTTAATTATCTTTTGGCTACAGCCCTTGCATGTCGCACGAGAAGTTTGGGACATTTCAATACCATATGCTGCAGGAGCAGACGCAGGAGCAGCAGCAGCAGCAACAGTGTTACTATCCAGTCCATTGCTATCTACATACTTTCTGATTTTCTGCTGATCTTCCCATCTAAGAGATTCAATGCCTTCGATTTCATCAATGCTGAAAAAGAAAGAAGGGTGCTAAACTCAATCACACCTTCAGCAATCAATCTAAAAAAAACAAGGTTGTTCCAATTATAGCCATATTTTCCAATCAATTAATTTTTATAAGCACTTACGATTTAATCTGATTCGCTTTCTTCATTATGCAGGTGGCATGGTGCCACATCTGGTGAAGAAGAACAGTCAACTTAGAACACTTTTATAAAATGAAAAGGAAAAGACATCCGCTTAACATTTGAAAGCCGGATCATTAAAAAAAACACACACACACATATAGCACGTGATGGTAAGTATGTAACAGCATTAAAGAGAATAGCAGTTGAAGTTGGTTTCAATCAGCAATAATGCACAAACATCTCATACTTCACATATATAAGAAACTGATATTCAGAAAGTAGATTAGAGTATAATGTTGAAAAATAAAGTTTTCTTTATGAGAGTTGGAAATGATGAAAATATAATCAGTTCAAACCATCTCAGTTGGAAGTAGATCTTTGTCATCAGAAAATACGTGCATGTCAACAAAGAAGTCCAAAGAAGCACAAAAAGTAGCACCACACACCGCAGCAATTTTTAGTAGTTCAGAGATTGACAAGCAAGCTAGCTGACCATATGAAACAGAACTAATACTCTAACAGAATCAGCAACAAATAAAGCTTTTTATCACACACCTCAGACCACCTTTGCCTACCTTTCTTAGCCACAAAGGTGATTGCCACACTTCAGTATGATGAGGTGATGAGTGGTGGTAGAATTTTGGAAATGTGAACCCCCAAGTTTACACCTTAAAAGGATCATATTATAGCAGCACATGAAAATTCTAACTTTTTAACACTTAAACTATAGGCCTGGAGCTATGAACTCCTAAGTCCACGTCCTGCAACTAGTACTCCCTCCATCCGGAAAGGCCGGAATCAATGGTCATGTTTATGGTGTAATATGAACTCATAATGTGACAACTAAATCTAGGCACATAGAGTATAAAAGTAATCTATAACTACAATACAATTTTTTTATTTTTTTTTTAATTTTTTGTTAGTACAACACAAATTAATAGTCATGATTTCTTCTCTCTCACTCCTGTGTTTGCATGTAAAACACCATGATGAATTCAAGCAAGAAAAAATCAACTTATTAACACATGATGTTCTAGTTCAAAAATTCAATTCAATCATCTCATTTATAATTTATAAGACTATATCACTAATAACAATGCAAAAATCAATCACAATACAGTTCAATCACTAACCTGAAAACTAGAACATTACAATGAGTCCACAATTACCCACTTAATTCAATTTCAATAATTCCGAAAAAAATAATTCCAGAAACCCTTTTCCCATTTATTTTTTTCCAAATGAGTATCAAAATTTACAAGAATTCACCTCGAATTTGGAATTTAACCCTCAAAAATTGGGGCCAAAATAACACAAACCCAGAAAGAGAAACGACCAAAAAAAAAAGCGTGATGAATTATGAAAATTAAGAGAGAAAAGGTAAGGAAATTACAGGCATGAAACCATCAAAATGTGGAGATTGAACCATTTTGCCAAAACGAAGAATTTCTTTAGCAATGTTGTTCTTGCAAGTTCTACAAGCAGCCCTCGCTGATTTCGCATACTCTGCTTTCCATGGCTTCTCTGGGGCCGCCATTTTCTCTCTCCTTACTTTCTTCTTTCTCTCCTTTTTCTGCTAAAAATGGCGCTGTTTTTTTTTTTTAATAATCGAAAAGGAAGAATAAAGAGGAGTATGAAATTTTTTGAGGGTATTTTTATTTAATTTTTTGAGAGTGGAGTAAGGTCACTCAACATAAACTGGTTTTACCATAATTATGATCAGCATCGAATGTACTCTAATTTTCCACACGAGAACGAATTTCTCCAGTAAAAAAAAAAAAGAACCTAGAAAAGGGTTGATTTTGAACTATTGTGCAGACGGTACTTAACCTTGTTCGGTAATTGTTTTATTTTTACAGGTCGATTCAGTTTTTGGTGTCATATTCAGATAAACGAATTTGAAAATCTTTGTCATTCTAGGTTGTACGGGGTAAACATTTTTTCCGATTATTTGCAAAAAAAATTGAATTTATTAAACAACTTAAACACAAAGTTACCAAGTATGAGTATAAATAAATGTGCTAAATTGCTTGTTTTAAAAACAGCTTTAGTGAATTTCCAAACAAGAAAAAAAAAATCGTGAATTTAATCATCTAAACAAAATAACTCCTTTTTAGGTGCACCTGAGTGTAAGATAAATGTCAAATCCTTCAAGACTTCACCTTCTCTCAATATGTTGTGATACTAAATCATTTTTAAGGAATCACTCTTAGATGTCAGCCCCTTTTCTATGGAGAAACATCAACACCTTTTAAGGAAAATTTGGAGCACAAAAGTCCCTTTAAAAGTGCAGCACTGAAATGGTGTGATACTGGGATATCAAAATGTATGATTAAGCGTTCGATGATCAGTTGGCAAATATGGAATTGGAGAAATCTTTGGTTGTTTGATAAAAGGAGAATTGCCCATTATTTACTTGTAATTAAGCAATATATCTCCTAGGTAAATTGGAACTAAACCATGAAAGAGATGAATGTCCTAGCCAGCCATCAGAACATTAAGATTCGCATTAAGATTAAGATGAACAAATTTTTGTGGGAACTGAAAGAGCATCCTGCGAGCACACGCCCACACAAAAGATTCACAAGAATTATAGCTAACACAAAAATCAGTGTTCTACAATTTTCTGTTGGTTTGATATCCAGGTCAAGAACAACCCTTTTCTTAGTGTCAAAATAATTTATATCTTGTATATCACCAAGTATATAGTATGATAAACCTCAAGGAGGGTAAAAAAATGCTTCTGACATAGAAGGTTAGCCTTCCAATGATTAAGCAGCTTCCCCAACAACAGGAATTTGCATGAAGAGGTACTGCAATCACAAAAATCCAAGAATCAGAAGCTCTATACCTGGCAGATTAGATCTTAAAGACACGTCTACAAATAGTAGTGTATGTACCTCGAAAGATTTGCCAGATTTTTCAAACTCAAGCATGCTGAGAGCGACCTCACAACTCTGTGAGACTATAGGCTCAGGGTCCTTGGAGAATTCCTCAAGAAGTGATATACTTTTTTCATCTGGAAACCAGGCAAATGAATATAGTGAATTAGTGATCAAGAATACACCCAATTTAGGCGAATTGAACAAAATAGCACATAGTAAGTCAATGCAGCTTCCTGACTAACTGGAACGCGTTGCAGGGCAAGTGGAGGGGCAAAATTCTTCAAGTCATTCAAGTTCTCATACTAACCAGTAGTTAACCAGACCAAAAAACAACACCCTAAGGCCTAAATTGGCTAGTTTTCAAAGCTTCAATTTAAAAGCACAAACTCTTCAATAAATTTATATTGTCATGAACCTCATGATATCATATAAAGTGTTTTCAAATTCCTTACATTAATCTTAAGAATTTATTAGCATACCTGCAATTGAGCCAAGAGCTTCGGCAGCTTCATGTCTAACCATTGGGTGCTCAGCAACATCTTTTAGAACCCTAATGAGGGCAGTTGATGCAACTTTATTTTGCATTTGGCCAAGCACATAAGCGACCTGTCTTCAAGAAAAGCATACATCATCCAGTGTTAAAGGAGATACCCACACATAGGATTAGCAAAAATAGTCCTTGTACTCATAAAACATGCATACATAATACAAAATTACAAATGGCAGCTAGTTTATTTGAGTACCAACAACCACTTAAGCATACAGTTGATGCTTAAGAAATCATCAGTCTGAGTTTGCAAATCTATGTTCAAGAAATATTTATCTAGGGCATTGACAGATGTGAATAATTAATCACTCAAAGTATCTGAAAAATGACATGCTGAGCGCCAAGTACTGCTAGAGTGTTTTAAATCATCAGGCTGAGTTTGCAAATTTGTTCAAGAAAACTTTCAATAGGGCTATTGACTGATGTGTATAAATAAGAAAAGTAACCACTCAAAGTATCTGACAAATGACATCCTGAACCCAAACTACTGCTACGGTATATAACTAACCTCGTGGCGCAATAGAGCACTTTTAGCTGCCAGGGAATCAACAATTGCAGAGATAGCCTCATCTCCCCCATCATTGCGTAGAGCAAATAAGGCGGCATATCGCTCGTACATACCCTTTCCTTCATCTAAGAGCAAATCCCTTGAAGATGGAAACAGCACAATAAACATTAAGATTAGCAATCATCCTTGCCCTAAAGCAACCACTATTATAAATTACACAAACCTTAGTTCAGACACAGAAGAGCAAGAAGATGGGGCAGCTGGGTCAACTGACAAATATGGAGATGGACCTTTATCTTCAGACTTATTATTTTTCATTTCCTCAATCCTATGCAGTGCCAATTCACATGTTTCTCTAACCTCTGGAGCTGGATCAGAGACCAAGCTTTTTTTTAAGAGAGGAACATTCATCTCTAGGCCTATAGCTCCGAGAGCCTCAGCAGCCTAAATAAAATGGACCAAAGTACAGATAGGATCAGAAATTGACGGGTGACATTCTAGAAAAAGGACAAGTCAATCCTTAACAGTACACTCACTTCATGACGAACAATTGGATGTAAAGAAAAGTCATTGAGAATGGATTCTAAGGCAGGAATAGCATCCGCATCTTGCATTTGGCCCAATGCAAATGCTGCTTCGTGTGCCAACAAATTTGAAGCATCTCTTGTAGCTGCAAAATGGAAGTCGCACAAGATAAATTAGTCCACTAAAATACAATGATGCATGTATTTGCCAAAGCATGTAAATGGTGTGTAATAAATGGTTAAGGGTGGGCAGTGTAGGAACATGTAAATAAGAACAGCAATTTAGGCATATTACCACTTTGTAATAGCAAGTTAAGAGTACCAGAAGATCAACAATGCACCCCCAACACACACACACCCCGGCCTCTTTGCCAGTGATATGAGGGATATAAGTCAATTCATCAAGAGAGCTAAGCCAACTATTTCACTTGCACCCTTTAGCAGATTGTAAATAAAAAAATAAAATAAAAATAAAAAATAAATAAAAAAAAAAAAAAGGCACACATTTATGGACACATATCTTTCTATAATCACTCCTATAATAGTTCTTGAATTGCTCATAGATTTAATCAGTTAAGCTTAACAAAGTTGAAATTCAAATCTACCCTATGAGGTCAGTACTCCCAGTCCTCTAATCCTCTCCATATACAAGTCATGAACCATTCACTAAACATGTAAAGAACCTTAAGTTACGGTCCAGAAGCTCAAAAGCTTATCTTAGTGTATAGTAGACAATCTAGACATAATGAACTTTCAAGATATCACCTCAGCTCTTTTACGCTCATACTTTGCTACCTATAGTGGTATCCTAAATCATTAATTGCTTGCTAGATATTGTTGTGCCTAAATTTTTACTGCAGGTTCAGATTTCTGCAGGTTGCTAGGTTGCAGGTCACAGGTTGCTAGGTTACACGTTACAGATTGTTACGTGTAACCTAGCAACCTGGTTCCATGTATTAAACAAAATCAAACAAAGATATTTCCAAGGAATATTCTAAGAGAATCCAAGTTTGAACGAAGTCAAAGTTGTTATAAGCTTTCCTACAATCAAGGAGGAGATATTTCCTACCAGGAATCAGTCAATTGGAAATGTTAAATGCATCTACACCACAAATCAATCCACATTCGTTGAAGACCCAATCAAGGAGTCAAACTACTTCTCCTATTTTCATGGAGGACACTCCCACTATTCTCCAACTAACCAGCAGCAAAGAACAAGTCAAAAGGCAATGGATAAGCACAAAGAGAACATGACATGAATCTCGGAGCTGAACCTGGCAGCTAACTCCTACTTTCAAGGAATCATCAAAGAAGTTGTTACAAGACTTCAAAAGACTCCCCTATTATAAATAGGATGGAAGACCATGGTAAAAACGGAAGATACGAGCCCTAGGCAACATATTTCATAATCATTAGCAATTAGTATTAAATTACATATTCATTTTTAATCACAAAACAACCTGTATTGTACCTGTAATTCATTCTCAAACTAGTAGATTGGTGGACTCAACGCCACCCGCAGTTTTTACCCTTACCCTTATTCCTAGGGTTTTCTGCGTCATCATCTTGTGTCTCATCTTCCCTTTCCCCTTTGTTCATCTTTCGTAGGTTATTCACCCCCATTCTTTGAACCTACGCTATCATTCATATCCTTATTAATCTAGCTGTTGACCGACCTATAGAACCTGGTCGAATCTAGCGAGCAGATTTTGGCCAAAACAGATATCAGAACTAGTTGGAAGGTAAATACAATTCATGCAAAGCTAACACTAACATGAGTGTGCTTATAAACAAATTATATGACCTTACAAGACTACATCATAGAAATGCCCATGCTACCGAAGAAGCGAAGAGTGCCGGACATCATACAGGAGGGGTTTAAACTGCATAGCCTGACTGACATGTGAGGGTTCTAAAGGCAACTTAGATCATCTATAGGATCGATTATGTTATTGTTAGATTGGTCCCAGTTCAATGAATACTGAATCATATACAGTAAATTCTTATCAAACCTATGTTTCAACTCTTAGTCAGTAGGCATTACAACAAGATGGCATGATCACGAACTAGGAACAACGCCAGCGAGTAGGCTAACATTACAATGCAGAGTAATTCTTCAAAAGCAGAATTACAAAAGGTCGGGAATACACAACACGGCTTTTAACTAAGGAGGAGATAATAAGTTAAGCAATTCCAATAATATAACTTCTGTAGTTTTCCAATCTTTGGGCAGTTGTTCAATAGGGTTGCATCAAACCCCGGGCATTTCCAAACTAGGTTTACTGCAATTTAGCTAATACAGGGATAAAATGTGTACACTTAAAATGTGTACACTTAATAAGTTAATTATTGGTTTCGACTTTCGAACCACCAAACAAGCTCTCAATTCCCCCTTGCTCATAGTATACAGCAGAAATCATCTACATCTAGTTCAGTGAAACATGTATGTCCCAATAGGCCAATACTATGCCTAAAATCTTGATAGAATGTAAATGTTCCAACCACTACTTAGTTTTGATACTACTTAACTATAAGCAACATACTAAATGCATCATAAAATAAATTAATCCAGGAAACAACCCAACATAATTTGTCACTACAATTGCACAAAAATAAAATCCCAAAAAATAAAACTTGTTCACTAATTCCTATATCAAATATTACGGAGTACTTAGAAAAAAATCCATGAAATTTGTATGAATTTAATCCAACAAAATCCAAATTCAATTCCCATAAATAAATTTAGGAAAAGGAAGAAAAGTACCTAGAATAAGAGCATCACGAGGAAGGTGGCCTTTAAGATTTCGGAGAGAGAAAAGAGCCCTGAAACGTTCAGAAATGGGTTGAGATTGATCCACAAGCCTCTCGCATAGAAATTTTACAGTTTCTTCTGAAGCTTCAAATGAACCCATTTGATTTAATTCACAAAAAAAAAAAAAAAAAAAAAAAAAAAAAAAAAAAAAAAAACCCTTATTTTTTGAGCAATTAAAACGAAAACCCAGAAAATTATATGATAGTCAAATTTTTGCAGAGAAACGAGAAGAAGGAGAGGAGAATCAGATTCCACCTCTTCTCTTGCTCTTGGTCTTGTTTCTCTTTCTTTGAAAGAAAGGAAAGGTGGGAGCTTTCAAAACCCAGCGAAAAGGGAGGGTTTTACTTTGTTGGGTGATGTTCTTAATTTGTTGACTTTGAGGGGTAAAAAGGTCATTTTGTTATCGTGCTATCGAATCACCCTAATCCAAAATAGACCGACTAGACTCGATTAAATTTTGCCGTCAATATTTTTTTCTTTTTGGTATTAGAGAGCCACAAGAGCGGAGATGAAAATCAATCCCAGAATTTCCTGAAATAGGAAGGAAGCTCTAAAAACTTGAACTAGACTCGATTAAATTAACATATCATGAATTTAGATGACTCAAAAACTAATACTCGCATAACACAAAATTGAATATGGTTAAAATTGATGTATTTTTAATAATTAACTTATTGACAATAAACACCAAGTAATCCGACTAAATTCAAACATAAGTAAGTTTCGACGTATGAAAATAGTTTTTGGGTAATCAAAGTGGACTACAAAGCCATCTCTCACATATGAGGTCAAGCATGAGCAATCAAACCGCGTGCTAGCTTATGTCATGTGGTATTCATGCCTTTGTTTGTGACATTAATCAACTTATCAACTATAGTAAATTTATGTATTACAACACGTGATCTAAATGTATCATAAAATAATGTTTAGTTAGCTAAAGTCCTATCATGTGGGCTAAGTAGTGCACATATTTTGTTGTAGTCTTGTAGGCAGAGGTGATCTTTGATTGTGTTAGGACATTTGGTTATGCTATATAACCTATGTTGACATGCATGAGCAACTTTGCAAGTTCTTTCTTTAATCAATATCCATATGTACATTTTTTATTAGGTTTTTAGTTAGATGCATTTTGAAGATGGATTTATCAATCATTGTATTCATAATAGAATAGGAAGTGGGTGTGAAAAAATTTCAAAATAAAAAGGAAGTTTTCACCTAGCTAGTGTGCATAAGAGAAGTGTTTTTTCATGTTTTTTGTGCAAAAAACTAGGTTGGAGGATTCAATAACCAAATCACCAAAAAGACTCTATAATAACTAATTACTCACCGATCACTATAGTATTAGCGCCACCACTAGTTCCCCCATTCCCCTTAACTCCTTTGATCTACTAGTGCATTTTCGAGTAGAGCGAGCTAAGCATGGGCCAAATTGACATGGAAATGATCCGACACATTTATAGGCAAGGATTTATAGGCAAGGAATGTACATTGCCATCATTCAAAGCGTGGCATGAACACGACGATTGACTCGTTGACCTGTCACAATATGACTCAATATGACATCACACATAGTTCAAATCATGCATAAACTTTATTCATAAAAGATCAACATAAACCCAACACAAGACAACAAATATTTTGAATGACCCATTCCAAACACAACATGATGAAACGCGAGCCTACACAACCCGCACCCATATCTACTTTCCAGCCAATGCAATTGTGGATTGTTCACCTACAATTAGAAGTAAAGAGCAATCTAGTAACTTCCAATTCTACCCCTTGTTTTCTTTCCTTTTATTTTTTGGTGTGCATTTGTTTACCTTTTATTTTTTGGTGTGCATTTGTTTAATGGATAAACAGAGTATCAATCGAAAAAGGAGAATTCTCAGGTTCAGGTAAATGACTCATCATCACTCTTTCTTTTCCCTCAATTTCCTCTTCAAAAATAAACTTGCGTTTTCTTAAGATCCCAATTTTCTCTCTCCTCCATTTCTAATCAAACTCTTCTCTGATTATTTCGGTAAACCCTAAATCTGACCCCCAATTCTATTAATTAATTTCTAATTTAAATGTTTCGCTACTACTTCACCAATTTATGTTCTTAATTACGTTTTTTTTCGTTTTCTTTTTCAGATCACTGGAAGCTTGATCACTTGTAAACTGCGTTAATTGATTTACCATGAATCCGAGGAGGTTTGCATCCTTAATTTCTTGATTTTTGATGTTGTTTTTGGTTCAATTGATTCATACGATTGCTTGTTTTCCAGTTTCCCTAATTTTATCTGCATTTCTATAGTATGATCAGTGAATAATTGATTTTATTGTTAAATTTTTGATAGTACTCGATTCTTTATTGGTGGCGATGCTTTGAATTACAGTGTGATTTATAACTCTTAATTGCGGCCTTATATGTGTCAATGTGTCATCAATTGTGTAGCAATGCTGCAAACTTTAATACCGCGAAAGTTTCTTAATCGAGGCGTTGTTTTGATTTATAAGCTATTAGAAGGGGTGAGATTCTGTCATTTATTAGATATGATTGCAAGTGATAGAGTTAACAATGTGCAATTAACCTTCTACTGGAAGCTGTATATGTAAAAAGAAGCATATTCTGTATCCGAGCTGTTGTTTTGTTTGCCTTATGGACCTGTATGTTCGTGTGATGGCGTGTGTGAAAGCTTTTTTTAGTTTGTTTCTTACGGAAAATGAGGTGATCCTTTCTGCGATAGAGTTGCCCATTAATGGATTGCTAAATGTGTTGCTAGCTCAGAGTAAAGGGAAAAGATTCTGCATCTAATATCTTGCTCATATCGGTGCATTTTGTTTGAAATATATCAAGGTCTTAGAATGTAGAGGACTAGATACTAGTAGATGTAACTAGATGTAGCATCCAATTGTTGTGCTGTTTTAAAGTTGGCCCGAAGAATTTTTATGCTTGGGGAGTTTGAGTTACTTCTAGACATTAATACATACTTCTATGAACTATTGCGATGTAAAAGTTACCAAGAAATCTTTGTAACATTGCTGCCTTTTTGTCTAGATGTTGATATCCTTACTTTGTAGCAGAATGATTTTCACTGTTTATGGTGATTTACATCTACATCTAAAGCTTCCTATGGTTTTTTGTTTGTATGCAGGGATTATAGAGGGTCAAGAACTTCTGCTTTTGATGGCATTGAGGAGGGAGGTATCAGGGCCTCATCCTCGTATTCCTCTCATGAAATTGATGAACATGACAATGATACAGCACTTGATGGGTTGCAAGATAGAGTTAATCTTCTGAAAAGAGTAAGTTATTGTTTCCTTGGTTTACAAATGTGTACCTTTTTTATTAACTCTAGGGGCTACGGCTACCTTTATCAATGTCCCAATTACTATGTCATATTTTCCTCCCGCCTAATCCACTGTTAATTGCATATGGGTTCAAGTTTTAGTTAGTACTCAAGGTCTGAGAATCAGAGAATTGGTTTTCTTTGAAGTAAGGATTTGCTTGGTAATAGCGTAGCAGTTTGGTTGCCTTAATGTTCTTTGGTCTTCAAACTTCTGGCCTGAATTTGTGTATGTCCATGTAATAACCTTGTGAACACTAGAAATTACAGTGTCATTAAATTTTTTTTGGCTTAGAAAATTTGTTAGATTAAGCCAGCTAATCTTGACTAGCTTGAGGTGAGACAGCATCAGCATGTGTCGCACAGCTAATGTGAAAGGGTAGTGTCCATCTCCAGTTTTCTAAGCGTGCTATAAGGGTGAAATACATGTGCTGGCATTGATAGATATCTTAAGTCTAGAACCTGGGCATCAAAAAGGAATCTGGTTTTGGGTAAATGCAAAATACTATGTTGCAAATGCAGTTTGAGTGGCAAGGAATTGATGACTGCTTCACTTATCATTGATCATTGGAGAAGCGGATGCAAATATGCAATTATTCCACATATTTTCAGGAGGGATGCCTTTAGTTTGCAAACGATTACTAGAGAGAGTGCTTCTAGTATTGTGTTATTCGCAAGTTCAAAAATAATTAAGTTTTTCTAGAATTATGTTAAAACTGCTATAATTGTTTACTGTCACCCTACTTAAGAGGCAAATGAAATATTATATCAAGGGGTTACTTCTACTTGTCTGCAAACACTGCGTACGTAAATTCAAGGGCTCGGTGGATTATTCTTTTGTGTCCTTGTTATGCATTCATATTGTACCTAAAATAATGGGGTCAAATCATGCTACTTAATTAATATAAGCATGAATTCTTAGAATACAAGAGCAAAAGGTATATGCTGTGTATCCCAATTCCCAAGTGATACACTTGTGTTATGTGTGGATTTGAATAATGACCAAAAACTAATTTATTGAATGATATTGCGCTATATATATGTTGCAGTTAAGTGGTGACATAAATGAAGAAGTTGATGCTCATAACCGGATGTTGGACAGAATGGTATGTTTGTGACAGTCACTAGCCCCATATCTTAAATGGTTATATTTTTTTCATTTTGCTATCATTGTGAGATTTTACTTGAGACTTATATTAAATACTCGTTTAGGGCAACGAAATGGATGCATCTCGAGGATTTTTGTCAGGAACTGTGGATCGGTTTAAGCAGGTAAATTTGATTGGCTATGCATACTCCCCCATACGCTGATAATTCATTTCTTAGTCAGCTGCTACTATGTGCTGATAAAGTTTCCCATTCTCAGGCATTTGAGACCAAATCAAGCAGACGAATGTTCACTCTTGTGGCCTCATTTGTGGTTCTTTTCCTTATTATCTACTATCTTACTAGATAATCCAAATAGCTAAAATTGATACTCCGTACAACTCCAGGCTTTTTATCTGAAGTGGGTCGCTGCCTCAAGTCTTTTCTTTCTCAGTTGCCGTGTTTTCTAATTTCTATATGAAATTGGTACAGCAGATTGTAAAAAAAATTGCAAAGCCATAAGAAGGGTACTTGAATGTATGAAGTTGTTTGTAACTTGTAACTCTGCTTCGTTTGAGTGTGATATCAGATATTTTTAGTTGAATGTATGTTTCTGGCCTTTGTTCAGCTGTGAACATTCTTCTCGTGTGGAATTAACTGTACATGCGTCTTTAACTACTCCGTGTAACATCTCACGATGCTTCACATGCTTGGCCAAGAGATGTTAGAGCTTTTTTTTTTTTTTTACAAAGTTTACATTTGCTATGAGTACTAACCTAGGGCCCTTGTGTTAGATTCCTCGAAGGAATGTCACCATAGGCGTCTTATCAAGGTTTCTCGACTGCGAAAGAGGACAAGTAGATATATATGACTACATACTACGGCAAAACATCCAACTATGAGTGATAGAATAATACAGAGTAGCCTTTTCATTTTGGCTTGAAAATTCACTTACAAAAATCATTTCCAAGAACTTTTAGTTTTACATTTGTGAAAGTTTTGTACTAGTGGTTTTTTCATCAGCTCATCAGTGATTGTAATACGTAGTATAAAAGGATGGTGAGACGAATGAATGAAAAGGAGTTTGCTGCACCATGTTCACCCTCCCCCGAGCTAACAATCATCTCTTTAAAGCGCCATAATCAGCTACTGGGAGTCCGATTAGCTTCAATGGTTTACGAAAAATAAAACAAAAGAAAATGCACCAACAGGGAATCGAACCCAGGTCTGTACCGTGGCAGGGTACCATTCTACTACTAGACCACTGGTGCTTGATTGAAAGATATGGGAAGCTTTACATAATTATTTCTAGTTTTCTATGGTGTCTGTTTAAGTGAGCTTGTTTCCTAATTATAGATTAATAAGATTATAATGTGAAAATTCCTTTTAAGAAAAATTAAAAAATAGATTGATTGAAGAAAAAGTGAAGGAAATGGAAAAAATGACAGTTATACATTTTCACATCAATTAACAATACTGTGAACTTGGAAAGTACTCTGAGTTATGGTCCTTACAGTTATTTAATTTTTTTTTTACTTATTTATTTATTTGATATAGAAGATTTATTCACCAGAGTACCAAACTTATTCTCGAGTCACAACTATAATGGTATATAAATATAAAATGCAACGTTCATTTACAATTATGCACATGATAGTATACTTTGAATGTTTGAAAATATTTGATAAAAAATTGCAATTCAAACATTAAGAATTTTACAAAATAATAAAGAAAAGAAAGTGAAGTAATATTTAATAATTAATAATAGCATATGAAATGATATACGAAGTATACATTAGTGACTCCGTCCTCAAGTAGATCGAATACAGTAATACACTACTTTATTAGTGACTCCTCAAGTAATAGACTACACTATTAATTTTAATTGTAAACATAACTATTATTAATATAATTTATATCGTAGGTACATTTTGAAGTCTCCATAAATGATGTTTACATTCCTTGACTGCTTCATTATCTATTAATCTAGTTCCATTACAAGAACTACGTAACTAACTCTCTTTTATTCCCGCTCCAAAAATACAAAAAGCTAAAAACAAAAATTAATTAGTACTTATATCATACTACTTCATATATTAATCAATATTTGGTTACATAGAATCATGAAGCATAAGATAATATTACGTGCTAATCATTCTTCAATCTACAGATCGATAGGGGTTCGATTCTCATCTCCAAGGAGTTAAAATTTCACCCCGACCCTAGCCTTCTCATAGTGGTCCCATTAAGATATATTAGGGCGGTGAGATTGTAGCATCTTATTAGCTAGTTGGCTTAGTTTAATTACCATGAATAGTGACCAAGACGAAGTTCAAGATCCAACTCTTCTGCCCCTTGACTATGATCATGATCTTGAATCCTCTTCCCTAGCATATGACCCGAACCGCCTCGCAAGGTTGGACTATGATCTCCAAGAAACCGATGAACACGACCCTCAAAACTCGAGCTATTCCCATTATTAAGGTGACTAGAGGAGTAGAATAATTTTGTATTAGCAACATTATCAACATGATAATCATCCTCTAATAATATTTCTTTGTTGCTAAAAATAGCATTATTATTATTAATAATTATATTATTAGTAGGCTCTTTAGTAGGGCTAGGTTTGTTGGTAGTAGTAGGGTTAGCTCTATCTTTTCTATGAATATTCATATGACCTCCTAAAGCTTGAGCTGTGGTGAACCCTCTTTGGCAAAACACACAATCATAGGATCTTATGCTTCCACCACTATCCATATGATCATGCTCGTCGTGATCCGTTCGATCTTGATGATGATGGTGATGATAATCAATTTCTTGGAGGTTGAAGAAGAAGCTCATGAATATTTTTGTATGATCTTATATCAAAAGTTTAGATCATCAAAACATAGAGAATATATATAAATATTTATTTCATGGCAAAGAAGCTTACTATAAGCCTTGATATATATAAGGTCTTGTGCATGACATAAAATATTAGGAGTTGATGTAGATGGGAGATAAGGACAAGTTGATTGTGATTTATTAAATTTATTAGAAAGAAGCTAAGGTTAAAGATGAAAGTATAGGTCAAAAAACAGAACACTATTTCCCTTTAATTTTTTTCCCTTGAATTCTTAGTTCTTTTCTAAATTTCAACCTTACCAGTTGAAATGACGACATTTGTATTCAATAGATAATACGAGTAGTACTCTAATAGTCTTATACAGTAAAATCACGACAACTAACTGGTCTAACTCAATTAATTGTATAAGATAATAATAAGTATAGTATCTACGACATTTTTAGTGAATTTATGTCATACGCTTATTAATGAGGAATTGGTAAATTACAACAATGATTTTTAGTTAGAGAAATCAAATTACATAAATGACAATATGAGTCGTATGATAATAGATACATACTATTTAGAAAGAAAAATAATGTTCCTCATTTTTTGCCCCATCTAAATATTTTCTAGAAAATATCTCCGGCCTTTATATAAAATTTGATTTTGACCGTACATATCTTTGATTTCGTATTTTAAACAACTTTTCTTTTTTTTTTTTTATAATAAAGTCTTTCCATTTGATAGATTTTGATAATCAATTGTCTCTTTTCTTTCACCACTTATAAGATTTAATATAATTAATTTATTTTCTTCTCTTTTGGTGCAACTAGATTCAACTAATATAATATTTGAGCAAATATTACTGGAGGCTAGTTTCTTTTATGGTGCACTCTTTATTGCATTAAGACTACTACTATAAGTTTTGAGTTTGTGGTTCGACAAACTTTGTCTCTTAGCTTGAAATTGACCAAATGCTCATTTGAGCTAGTGTAAATCTAAGTCATTTTATAAAAATTTGCCTAAATCAAAGTTTTATTATCACACTTTACAACTAACTACTTTTGGCAAAGCTCATGCATACGTATATATAATCCATTTAGAAGCAAAAGTCATGCATTTTTAAGTTGAAAATGTCTTTCTCTTTCTCTTTATTATTTATTTTAATGTAATTTATTGCAAATAGGTAGGAGTACCACTTTTAAGACGGTGGTATGTGATTTTTTTGTTTATAAAAAAATGGAATTGTATAAGTTATGGGGAATAATATCATCCCATAATCTTCTTTTAACCTTTTTTTGTTAATGGCAGAGCTTGAAAATTTAAATCGTTTATAAGTCAAGGTTCGAGCCTCTAAACTGTAAAGATTAGAAATAAATAAATAAATTGACCTAAATTATATATAAGAACAATTTTATATGGCTAGTTTCAAATCTAATTAACTTGTTCTCTTCACCTTAAAAAAAATCATATTAAGTAAAAATAATTTCAGTTCAGTTAAATAAGTTCAGTTCAGTAAAAATTAATTTCAGTTCAGTAAAAATAATTTCAGTTCAATAAAAATAAGTTCAGTTCAGTAAAATTCAGTTTTCTTAAAGAAGAATTATTATAAAAAATCAGTAAAATAATTTCAGTTCAACAAAAATAATTTCAGTTCAGTAAAATTAATTTAAGTTCAATAAAAATAATTTAAGTTCAACAAATATAATTTTGTTTCAGTAAAAATAATTCCAGTTCAGCAAAAATAAGGTGAAGAGAACAGGGCCTTAATGGTAAAAAATTATTGTTTTTCAATTTAGTAATGCTTGGTATTTACAATTTTTTAGGTCCCAAAGGCTTAAATCTTAGCTTATTAGAATGTTAAAAATTGAGTTTTCTTACCCATTCACATGTACCCGAGAGCTTATTGATTTGAATTATGTTGGATGGAGTATTATTGATCGACTAAATCGACGTTTCTTTCACTTTGATTGGAGATCTTCACTCTTAATCAAATCATTCTTATTGTGATATACTACCTAGTAGTGTATATATAACTAAGAGCTAGACCATATAAGAATAAATAAAATGGTTCATCTTCGATGTCATGTCAAATTGACACCAAAAGCTAACTTCTTTTAGCTATCTACCAAGACAAATTAGAAACTATTACTTACATCTATTCCTGAGTGTATATATGTCACTGTATTGAAGTCTCATCGGATAGTACTCCTATTGTCCTTATGTTAGTTTTGATATTGATAATTCATCAAAAGATATGTAGATACCATATATGGAAATATATATATGATTCAATAATGCTCTTTTTAAAATCGCAAATAAACAAAAATTGATATTCTGGTTCCTAAGTATTCTTAACATTGATCTCATGTATATTTACCTTTTATTTAAGGCTACACACATATTAAGTGGATAAGTTACGAGTAAATCAATCAACTTGAAACAGAAAAATTATATATAGTTAACCAATGGAACGTCGTACATCTATAAAGATTAGTACCATGTAATATACATATATAGAGAACTCGTAGTGATCCAGCATAAGTAGTATGTTGGACATACAATTTTTTTTTCTATAATTCTTCAAATCATGGCGTTACTTACATACATAATAATAAATGAGCTAGATAGTTATAAGAGCTTTCCAATTGAAAATGAAAGGAGAAGCAAATAAACATTATGTTGTTTGTATTATGTAACTTGTCTAAACTATGATTAATGTTGCTTTCTACACGTCTGACTACAAACATATATATACTATAAACTTTTGGACATCCAATCAACATATATATATAATATAAGTTATAAATTTATTTATAAATATATCATGCATATATAATGTTGATCT